TTGCTTGGCCTTTGGGATCCGAGCAAACAGCATATTGAGCTGAACGATGCATTATAGAATTTCACTATCATCGAGGGAGTATAAACACTGTTATGATATTGGGAGCTGGATTGTAACTGAGGATATTACAGCAACTGACCTGTTATAGTGGCAACAGTTTGAGTGTAACCTCAGAGATGTCATATGGTAACAGTTTTACAGTGAATGGTGTTCACATGGTTTTACAACCCACAAAATTTTCGGAAAATATCTAACATTGTTTTGAGATTGGGTGGGGGGGGGAGGAGGGGAGGCGGAGAGAAAGGAAATGGGTTAGAACTCTAGAGAGGTTCGGATGAAGAAGGCCCTTCAACTCATTTGATCTCCTCCTACCAGCTTCCCATTACAACATCAAGCTGTTTCTTGAATGGATTCCAGTGTATGAGCCTGAACCACGCTATACTTTGCCTTTGTAATAACCCTGACCAAGTTGTTAATCACCTGCTGGGTAAAGCAATGACAGTAGTTGCACATTGTTTTACCTCCTCCCATCCCTCTGTGCACTCATCTATTTCCTTCTCACGCACACCCTCACTCCTCATACTATTTGCTGCCCTCCTTTACCCCTCATCTCAATCTCATCTTTTCATATTCCAGGTTTTCTTAGAGTGTAAAGTATTCACACTCACTCACACACACATTTAGCAGTAGAAAGAAGCAACTGAGGACCATTAAGCTGTTGCTTTAAGTGTGCTTTGTGTATCTGAACCCTGAACCTTCCCGCTTCAGAACCAGGAATGCTTTTAAGAATTAAATAGTTGGGAGGAATTTTGTTTTGACATTTCCATGCTTTATTTCCTGGTCACTGGTCCTCCATTTCAAGGTTGTTTGTGGGACACTTGCTGGTTTGTTCACCCGAAAATACAGTCAGTACATACTACAATGTATCCCGTGAAGTCCTTCAAGATATCCTTCCGATGTGAAAGGCGAGATAGCAAATGTCAAGATGATTATTTATTAATAGTAAGATAATAATCCTTGCATTTGATACAGATTTTATCATGTCTCAAAGAGTTTCCCAGAATATATTGTAAAGTGGATTGACTATGTATTTTCTGGGCAAAATGTGCTAAACGTAATAGTTATAATGGTTTTAAATAGTAAGGCTGCAAGGGATGATTTAACATCACATCTGAAGGACGATGCCTCTGACAATGCAGAGAAATCTCTGGCACAAAAGGAGGCCATTCTGCCTATCAAGTATGCACAGGCTCTCAGAGAAAAAGTCTCGACTAGACGATGAGCTCAAAGTCCTGGCATGGGGCTCGAACCCCCGATCTTCTGACTCAGAGGTAAGAGTGAGATTGACTGAGCCAGTCTGACATCATATATATATAGAAAAAAGTAACGGCTGCTAGCACATATAATATGATCTGAACCAGAACTGTTTTGCTCAGAAATAATCCCTCAGATTCCAGACTGACATGCCTGTATAGGCTGATTGTTATAGGGCATATTTGGTCCTCTAATTGAAATCACACAGCACGCTCTCCTGTTCCCGAGTTATTTTCCTGCTGTATCTCAACTGGACCGAAAGGTTTTGTGGCCTGTCAAATCCTGGAATAATTTAATCCCTAGCCCCTTCACTCCGTCGGCAAGTTTCTCTGTGCCCTGTTACTCTCATTTTCCCATTGACATTCCCGCTCGGTCAAAATACGGAAGTCAATCGAAATACAGAGAGAAAGCAAGGAGCAGCTCTCAAGACCCAAATAAAACAAGTTAGTATCAGCCAACAGGAACACTGTGTGCAGAGCGTACCAGGGACGCTACCAGCTAGATCTGTCAGACATTTCAATGTCAGCTCCTTTGTACACACTCACACAGACACTCACGCTGGATGTCTGCCACATGAGGAAACCCATGACCATGCTTAAAAGTATCCAAAGAAAACTAAGAGTTCCATGCATCCCACCTACACATGGAAATCCTTAATTCCGGAAAATATTAATAACAATAATAGCATTTGATATAGCGCCTTATTGTGATGTTGAGACGTCTCAAAGTGCTTCACAGAATATACTGTAAAGTGAATTGATAATATATATTGTGGGAGAAACGTTACTAGGAACAGATGGGCAAGAGCGGGACCCAGAGTGTGAGTTGGGGTAACTGCTGGAGTATAACCAGCTAAAACCACACAGCTTGCAATTGATAGCACTATCTGCAAAGTTTTCTCGCTACTTGTCCAGCTAGGACAATCTACATTTATACAGAGCTTTTCACCTCGGGAGGATCTCTCAAAGCAATTCAGCAACTCACTGGGAGCCTGAACGACATGGTGACAGAAGGATTCCTGCCTGGACATATACAGATCCTGAAAATGAGCTATAAGCCATGGTGAGACAAGCTGGGGCTCTTTGGGGAGGAAGCTGCCCGGTCCCCAGAGGTAGTACAGAGGAGAGCAAGAAAGCTGATCCCCAGTATTAGAGGAATGAGCTATAAGCAACAATTAGACAAGGTGTCGCAATTCAGTTTTGAGAGAAGACGTCTCAGAGGGGACCTTTTGTAACATTCTAAATAGGAGTGAAAAAATAAACCCAGAACAATAGTTTAGGATGCACCAAGTCAGCAGAACAAGAGGACACAGGTTTAGAGTTGTAAAGGGCAATTTCAGAACAGACACCACCTGAGTAAAGCTTTTCTTTACCCAGAGGGCAATTAACAATTGGAAAGGGGCACCGGGAAAAGTGGTTGAGACCAAAACACTGAGACTCACTTCTAACCCATCTCGATGCTGTGAGGAGGACAGTAAAGTGGGTGTTCTGGAAGGATGAGATCAGATGGGCCAATGACTCTTCTTTATCCAAACCAATATTGTTGATTTCCAGTTTGACTGAATTGTATCAGGAACTGACTTGAGTCTAGACATTTCCCCCAGTCCCTGACCCCCACAAAACTAAAGAAGGTTGGCTGCTGAGCTCGGTACAGTTGTTTTCTCCAGTGACAAAACACAGAACTTGGAGAAGTAATTGTGAAGGGTATAGAGAAACAAGTTTGGAGAGAGGGATTAAAGTGGATGGTTCCAGCAGGCAAGAGCACAGACACAACGGGATGAGCAGCTGCCTTCTGTGCTGTAAACGTTCTATGAACTCTGGTGGAAAGACTACAAAGAGTGATGGAGTGAATGGAAATGAACTGGACTCGACACAGGAGAACAGCAGATCCCGAACTTTTATTGAAACCCTCTGTGATGCCTTATCTCCAACACATGTTAAAACTCAAGTGAAGCAGATCAGCCAATTTTAGTTCTTTGTTACAGCACTTAATTTTGTCACTCAATCCATGACTGTTTGTGGGACACTGCTATGGGTAATTGGCTGCTGAGTTTCACCCACAAAATATACAGTCAATTCACTTTACAGTGTATTCTGTGAAGTGATTTGAGACATCTTAGCATGATGATGAGTTTCCGCATGTGTCAGATACCCAACTGAACCCCCCCCCCCTCCCAAAAGTCAACGCAACTCAGGAAGATGAGATGTAACTGAGTGGGAGGCGATGTATGAGAGCGTGTCAAAGGGAGTGTAAAAGGTTTGGTTGTCAATAAGATCACTGACTACAGGCACTCCAAAACACTGCACGCTTTATACATGCAGAAAGGTGCCTCACATGCGACACTATCTAATATATAAAGCCCTAGTTTCTTTAAACTGCAGCTGCTCATTTATCACAGCGCCGTGCACATTCTGGTCACTGTGACTTAAGAGGCTTAGAAACAGTGTAGAGGGGAGTTATGTGTCAGCTTGGCTCAGTCGGTACCACTCCTTCCCCCGAGTCAGAAGGTTTTGGGTTCAAGCCTCACATCAGGCCTTTGAACTCATATAGTCTAAGCTGACACTTCAATGGTATATGCTACATTGTTGGAAGTTCTGTATTTTGGATGTGATGTTAAACTGAGAACCTATCTGTGCCTGTTGAGGTGAATTTTAAAGATCCTATGACTCTTTTCAAAAAGAGTTTTGTCCGACGTGTTGGCCAATAATTCCCCAAATAAAATCAGTCTATCACTTCATGGCTGCTTGTGCTCAAATTGGCTGTCGTGTTTACAGTCACTACACTTTGCAGTGTTTCCTTCACATTGTGAAGTTCTTCCAGATTTCCTCCGGACTGTAGTGGGATAAGCAGAGTCTAATCAAATACATAGAATCCTTTAGAGAGAAAGAGAGCAAGAGGATTTAATTCTCTCAGTTTGATCAGCCCTGGAACCTGGATCCAAAAGGTGAAGGAACGGCAACCCAACAACAACTTGGACCTGACCTGTACTTAGAGAGAGGACAATGTAGAGGAAAGTACCAGTCATGGGTGGGTCCACCTTCCAAAAAAGTTTGAACTTTTCTCTCTGGATTTGAAATGAATGAGAAGAGACCTGATTGAGGTGTTTCAGGTTATGAAAGAATTTCATAAAGTAGATGCTGACAGACTGTTTCCACTTGTTGGTGAGTCAAAAACTAGAGGGTATAAATATACACTAGCCAGTAACACACCTAATAGTGAGTTTAGGAGGAACTTCTTCACACAGTGTGGAACTCACTGCTGGAAGCTGTAGTTGGAAGCAAAAATCATCAACGTATATAGGAGGAAACTTGATGCATACGTGAGGGAATTAGAGTGGTGTAGTTGAGGAAATTAGGAATGGTGGATTATAAACATCAGCATGGACTAGTTGGGCCAAATGGCCTGTGTCCGTGCCATATCCCTCTATGCAACTCTACATGTATGAATAAGCTTGAAAAAGATCTCCACATTTCGATTTCAAAAATAAAAGGGCTTTCAATTTAGAAAGAAACATAATTTTCGAAAGCCAAAGTGAAGAAGACAAGTGTATATTTCACATGACCAACACCCCTCTCCTCCTCCCCCCGTTAACATTCTTAAGTTAAACAGGTTCCAAAGCTAATCAGTCAACCACAGACAGTGCACAATACATCATATTGGCCGGGTTATAAACGTGCATTCCTTACCTGCCAACCTGTTTGAGAAAATCTTTTGAGAGATTCCAGTTTACTGAGGAATGAATGGCAAATGACCTCCTTCAGGGCGATGGCAGAACATCCATTATTTGAGCTGTTGAGAGCCGGTATGTCAGTTTTCCCTCTCTCCCCTCATTGGCACCAAAATGGTCAGGTTAAAAGGTTCTTCGCATTCCTGGAGGTGAAAAGATCAACTTTTTCTTTTTAAAAGAAATCATCTTCTCTTTGGTTAGCCGGATGTCTGACACACACAGAAACCCATCATCGTGCTTATGAGTATCTGAACCAGAGTGAGAATTCCACATATGAATAGCACCAAAACATGGAAATGTCCTCAAGTCTGGAAATGAAACGCACCCTCTCTCTCCCCCTGGAGGGTCAGACCCTGCTCACTGAATCCCGGAGAGTATTCGGTGCAGGCTGACAAGAGCCGAGGCTTGGGGACCTCACAGTGTGAGTTGGGATAACTGGTGGAGTTTAACCAGCTAAAACTGCATTGCTTTAAACAAGCTTTAAAAAGACTGGCCAACACAAACATTTATATATAGCACACACAGCAAGTGGCTCTCACCACAGCATATTAATAATTTTTCCTTTCCTCCTATAAAACACAGGGTGTGGCAGCTGCACGTCTGGCCCTAACGGTTATGCTGATATCGACATTGCAATGACACTTTAAATGATCCTCGCAACCGTTGATAATATTAACTTTGAATTGAACTCATAAAAAGCCGTTTTTTGAAACAGCTGCTATGTATGGTATTCTGCAACAAAGTAGTGACAGAGGTCACATACCCTTTTAGAGAGATACATCTACACTAACACAGTTTATACCTCATCGGAAATATCTTGTATGGGGGAGCGTCATGGGCATATTTTTTTCAGGGATCTTCTATTGTGACCTAAACAAGCTCATCACACATGTATGGACTCCAACAAGGAGTCCTCCCACAAGAGGCCTTCCAAAGGGAGTCCTCTACAGGAGTCCTCCCAGCTGAGTATAGATAAAGACAAAATGTCTGTCCGTGCGTCTGTCTGTGTGTCAATCTACATTCCACATTGGATCCTTTGGTTGCAAGTGAAGCTACAACAGGTTACAGCTAGTTATTGTATAAATGTAAATCATAATGTAGTAGTTTACACAAAAGCACAGAACAAAATCTTGAGTGAAGCTGAAATGTGTGTTAAGTGGTGAAAGCCTTGGTTTTGTTGTTGACCAAGCTGGACAGTGAGCAAGTGAAGTGTTCCACCATGGAGCCTGAGGTCTAAGGGTTTGGGTGACCTGAGGCCTAGGGGTTTTTCGTTGACAGATGAAATAATGCAGGTGCAGATTTCCTTGACCGTGCAGACCCAGTGACCAGGGGTCGCAGGTGTACAGCCACTTGACCCAACTGCTTCAGGAATAAATTGCTGTTTATTGCGACAATTGACAAGAGGAATTTACAAAACACAGATTGTATCCTCGAGCTTTTATTTGGTCACCTAAACTTAAAGGGCAGGACCTCAGACAGAACAAAGCCCATTAACTCCAAAAGGGTCAAGAATGTCAATCAAAATGAAGATCAGCCGACTCAGGGCAGTCAGAAACATAACTTCAGCTAACATCAACAATCATGCAACAACAGAACATTACTGCACAGAAATAGACCATTCAGCTCAACAAGTCTGTGCAAATGTTTATAGCCCACATGAGCTTCCACCCTTCCTGTTCCCTTCACCTGTACCGTTCGATTCCCTTCACTCTCGTGCAAATACAGACATCAATACTTGGCCAAAGAGATCGAACGAGCAAGTCAGTGAAAACAAACAGTCAAAAAAAAACTTTACAGTATATTCTGTGAAACACTTTGAGGTGTCTTGACGATGTGATAAGACGCTGTATGAAATGCAAAGATTATTATAGACTCTGTGTTAAATGACACTCAGCCCTAATAATGCTTTCAGATTCTATCTTTCCTGGTTGCATCACTCTGACCAGCATTAGACAGTCTCACCCAATGCCTATAAATAACCCACAGCCACAGGCCCACACACCTACTCCCTCTTGTCCCATTTCTCCCGATTACAACATCACACAGTGCAGCTTTGAGGGACTATATCCGTGACAGAGCACAAATGAAGGCGGGTCCTCTTCAATGTCTTACGGAAAACGGGCTTTCAAATTAAAACTAGATTTAAGAATTTTTCACAATTCTGTGCGATCTGAAATTGTACCACAAAATGGTCGACGTGCTAACCCAGGTCCAATTTCAGGGCATTGAGGTAGCTGCTGTTAGATGCCCTGCGGTGCCCATTCTGAATGTGATTTACTTGTGGCACAATTTATAATGGAATCTCTAAACCAGAGCAGCATTCCCAGCTCAATACTATCACTATAGCAAGGTCTCCCTTGGGGGTGTGGTAAGCGAGGTCTCCTCGGAGCTGAGCTCTAAGGCTGTAAGTTGCGGTGCGAGTCAACAGAATGTCAGATTCAAGCCAATCCTCTGTGGCGGTCTCAGTCGGTTCCTGGGCCAGGTGGGTCCACAGTACTCCAGGGCAATGCTGATGACAGACCAGCCAGCCTGGCTTGTTGGCAGGACTTAGAGAAGCAGCCCAGTCATTCGGAGCAGGGATTCTTCCCCTTGGTTATTGCTAACTCACTGGACAAGCAACTGTAAGCTTGCCAGGGCATGCCAATGGCAAGCTATGCTGTTTCAGCTGGTTAAAATCTGGCAGTCATCCCATTGCACACTCTGGGGTCCTCAAACCTTGGCTCTCACCAACCTGCACCGAATACTCTCTGGGATTAAGTAAACGGGGTTCATCCCTCCGGGAGAGAGTGCACATTCTATTTCAGACACAGGTAAATTGTGTAGGTGGCGTACATATGCGGCACTCTCAATCTGATTTGGATACTCTTAAATATGATGATGGGTTGCTGCATGTGCCAGACACCGGCTCCCCCCCTCCAAAAAATACGTTATTGTTTAGTTACATTGGAATATCTAGTCAGGAGCGTGCCTTTATTCGTAAAGTTATTCGTAACCTAAGAAGTTACGAATAACTTGGTAGCACTTGCTTCGCACAAAATAACATTTGGTGGCCACATGATATGTTGAGATTCAATTGAAAATTTAAAGTGAGACACACATTGCTCCATGTGTGTGGCCAACACTACATTGCTGGATACTCTGTGAAGGATTATTTATTTTCCTTCAGATACTCCACAAACGGATTAATAACAGGGATCACTTCAAATGCCGATGGATTTGGTAATGGTTAATCCATCTGGAAGGGCTTATTCAAGACCATTTGAAGAATTGGTGGTTACAGGCAAATTTGCCACGTACAGTAAACATAGCTTTCAATTGTTCGGCACAGGACAGATTGTTACAGGGATGGGGTGGGGGTGGGGGCTGGTGGGAGGGGAGAATTTTGGCTGACGTTGAAAATCAGTTAAAAGCACTTTTCCATAGAAAAAAGGAATGAGTCCCTCTCTGCCAGTGATGCCTTGGAATATGTCCAGAATTTGCTCTGTGCTGATATCCTGCAGGATAATAAAAACATCAGAGATTTGGACAATCCTGATATGTGCTGAACTGTTTTACTCAATCCACACAGGGTGAGGTCACATCCTCAAACCTTCGAGATCAGAAGAGTTAACATCTCAAAAGGCAATGCCGCACAGAGAGCCATGGAGTGAGCGACCAAGGTTATTTGGGGGATTGTTGGCCGGGACTTTAACACCTCCCGGAATGCCCATCAGACCATCCATCACAGAATTAAACCATTTCTCAAATGTATCCCAGTGTCCTGGCCTCAACCAACCATTTCTGGTCACTCCCTTCCAGGCATTAATTACCCTCTGTGCAAAGAAATACTTCCCGGTGTCTATCCTGATATTGCCCTCTGCCTCCCAGAGCCTGTCTGGATCCATTGACATACATGAAAAGGAAAAATTTGCAAGGCTATAGGGAAAAGAGAGGGGAAGTGGGACGCGTTGGATAGCTCTTTCAAAGAGCCGGCACAGACGCGATGGGCTGAATGGCCTCCTTCTGGGCTGTAAGGTTTTTATGATCCTATGAAAATAATGCGTCAATGTATTTACTCATTGCTGAGTGCAGTGGCGTACCGGTGGGTGTTGGCTTCTGCTCCAGGCTGCTACACGAGGTGTCTTTCCTCCCAGGCTGCAGGGATCTGGATTCACTCTCAGTTCTTGTTCAGTCTGAAACAATCGTTACGAAGTGTTTAACCGCCAGGGTCAAACTGTGGGAGTTAACAAGTTGCAAGAAATGGCATGTTTGCCGGTACTTGAATACACATTCTGACCTTGTCTGCAAACGCTTCAATCTCTCAGCGGTTCCCTTTCCCTATCGCTCTCTCTCTCCCTCCTTTCACTCTCTCGCCCTTTCTGACTCTTTCTCTCCCCTGTTTCCCCCTCCTCCTCTCCCCCCCGCCCCCCACCCCCGACTCCAGTCCCCTTTCCCTCTCTCCCTCTTTCGCTCTCTCACTAACTCACTCTCTTTCTCCCTCTCCCCCAGGTTATATAAGCAGTTTGACTTTTCCAGATATGTGTTTAAAGCGATTGTAAATGGCAGGAATGTCCTGTGCCTCGAGCTCAGCTCAGAACAACACAGAACGATTGAGGAGACAGAGAAAGGTCAAACAGCACGTCTGACACAACGCACCAGCTCGCGTCCGGACACCGGAATTCAACACCTCACCCGAGAAGCACACAGCATCCTAACCCACACACAGCAACACAGCGCCCGATACAACAGTTTTCATGTTGAGGGACATCTCAAAGCGCTTCACAGGACATATGATAAAGTGTAGTGACTGTATTTTGCAGGCAAATACAGCAGCTGGTTTGCACACAGCAATGTCCCCACAAATAGCCAAGAAGCGAATGGTTAATTTTATTTGAGCTATTGTTGACCAGGACACCGGGAAAGAGAAACTTTTCGAATAGAGTCACACGTCCACCTGAATGAATCAGGTGCTTTGGTACATGATCCACAAATCCAACCTCATTCATTTAAAATAGTCTGTGGATAAGAGCCAGGAGCTTAAAAACAGGTGAGTCATAGGATCATAGAATCACTGGAATGTGCAGCACAGAAGGAGGCCATTCATCCCTTCGAGTCATGTGAGAGATAATGTGGGGAAGAAAGATCACTTCTATTTGCAAATCTGTCCCTAACCGATGCCAGGCAAAGCCTTGGTAAAGCTCTTTAAACCCCGATCAAGTGGGCATTAAATATGCCACAGCACTATGGAAAAACGAAGGCGTTGCTCCCATTATAATGGCCAACAATCCCCCAAAATTGATGGTTCACCCCATTGCTGTTTGCAAATTGGCTTAAGTTCTCTAAGAACTTAGAGAAGTGTCAGCGTAAGGCAATACAGTAAACTCCTGATAATTCGACCGTGGCTTAACTTGTTGCTACCACATAAGTCATCATGCTGTCAATACCTAGGCTGCATTTATTTATGCATTTACAGTAAAACTCACCACAAGTCATATCAGTCGGGACACTTAATAAGATTTACATGAAGTCCCAGTTACTGCAAATTTATCCAAGTCGTATAAAGTCTGATTGAATCAATAATCTACACTGAGCATGCGGTAAGTGTGCATGCGGTGACGGGTCAAGACTACGTTTCCAATGATTCAATGTATCCTGACCCGTTGTCACATGTACACTTACTGCAAGCATTGGCATCGCATTCAATCACGGGGATCAAGTTCTTCTGCGAATGCGGCGACGAATCAAGATTACGTTTCTCGCGATTCAATGCAGCCGGTAAGTGCGGGAGTAATGGAGGATAGGGGAGCCACGTTACGAGTTAGGAGATGATTTGCTTAGAAAATACGAGTAGCGCAAAGAAATCTAGGTGTTGTTGATAGGAAACTGAACGGGACTCGGGTACATGTACGATTTAGGCAATTATACAATTTATAAATATAAGACTTTTATAAGGCGAGTTTTACTGTATACATTTACCCAACTTGCCACTCCATACAACTCATCAGTGAGCCCTTTTCCCTCGGAGTAATGAGTTATCAGGTGTTCACTGTATATCAAATGTAAGTAATCTAATTATTAATAATAATGTGAAAGTCAACGACAGGTTAATGCCACCGGGTGTCTGATAAATTTTAATGCAATTTTCTCTTTTACTTGCAGATCGTCTGTGTGTTTGCTCTAGCGATGGACAGCGTTGCAGATTTCCCTTTTTCTATCTAAAGGCCGAGAATTTTTTTTATTCAAGAAAGGTTTGACCTCCTTAAAAGTGCTCTCCCAGTCAGAGCACTGCATTCTGAATGAATACAGCATCTTTAGCTCAAGGATATAGATTGAATATAGACATGACATAATTGTCCTTGAACCCATCTGATCTCATCCTTCCCCTTCCCCCACTCTTCCCCTCCATCCTCCCATCACAGAGTCAAGCTGTTTTTTAAATGAGTCCCAGTGTCCTGGCCTCAACCACCCTTCTTCCTGGCAACCTGTTCCAGTCATTAATTATGCTTTGGGTAAAGAAATACTTCCTGATGTCTATCCTGAAATTGCCCTTTGCGACTCTAAACGTGTGTCCTCTTGTTTTGCTGCCTTACTGTATCCAAAAATTATTGCCCAAGATTCACTTTTTACTTTTTGAACCTCAATAGAAAAAACTGTTCGATAACTTCATGGCTGTTTGTGGGACGTTGCTGTGTGCAAATTAGCTGCTGCAATTTTGCCTGCAGATAAGCAGTCAATATACTGGAGAGGAAATCAACAACATGATAAATCGCTATATCAAATGAAAGGATTATGATTTCATAGATGTCCAGAAGAGCTCCTCAGAGAAGTCGCCATCATTTTGCGCAGGTCTGCTCGACAAAGGAACAATAAGTCACGCAACATGCAAAAACCTCTCACCTTCCTTTCTCCCTCCCAACCCCCAATGCTTCCTTTAAGCCTCATCAGAAACTAACTATCGTGTGTTACCTTATTCTGAGGTTTTATGTTAATCCTCCATTCGGAGTTTTGCCCACAAAATACATCGTCAATTCAATTCACTTTACAATATATCCTGTGAAGCACTTTGAGACGTCTCAACAATGTGATAAGGTGCTCTATCAAATGCAAGGATTATTATTATCATTATTATATATATTCCAAGGAACAGACCACAGCAATCGATTATCTTGATGGTTTTTAATCCCCTCCAAAGTGTTTCATTCGCAAACTGCAGCCTGGAGTTTTTTTTGGAAAAAAAAGCAAAATGTTTATTTTTCCAAAAGAAATCTAGCACAAGAGTATCTCCTTGGCGTTCAGTGCAGAGTGAGTGCTCGCTCTCTAACTGACCGTGAAAGAACATTTAATCGTCAGGAAAGAAAAAGCGCAGACACTTGGCTCAGCTGTTTTGTTTGCTCACAAGTTAAAAAGATAAAGAGAAAGGTTGGAAAGCAGCACCGGCAACATACATCTGGGCTGTGAAGCGAAATGAATAGGATTTGCTTACCCTGAAACACGGCAGGATATAAACAGCCACGGGGTTCTGAGCTTCTGTCTGGCTCTGCTCGCTACCCACTTTCAGACCAGCTCGAGCTGCGGGGAGGATCACACAGCACGTTCAAATAATCACAGAAAGCACCAAATTCCACCGCAGCCCACCGCCGGCTGAGTATAATGTGAGCATTGTCTCTAGCAGCTTCACATCTGAGCAGGGCAACAACTCAAGAGGACTGATCGTGGATTTGTGTGTGTGTCTGTAGTGTGTGTGTATGTGTGTCTGTGGTGTATGTGTGCGCGTGTATGTGTATTTAAGTGTACAAGAATATTATAACAGAACTGGAATGGAAAGAATATTCGGATAAACCGGATAAAACTTTACTTTGCACTGCTCAGTCCTCGCCGAGTGCTCTATGTCCTGCCCACACCGCACCCCCACAGAGAGCCGCAGTACCGGGTGGACGTGTTAAACGCCCTCGACGAGACGCAATGCTTTTTATTCCCTTCCGTTTACGCTGTTAATTCCTTCACCTAACTTTCAGTGATCAGGCTCGATCACTTTATAGAGAGAGGAACGAGGGCTGGAGCACAGCCAGAGCCTATTTACTGCATGGGTGTTTGTGGGACACTGCTGTGCGAAAATTGACTGCCGCGTTAGCTTACAAAAATACAGTCACTGCACAATAAAATCTTGGGAAGTGTTTTGAGATGTTTTGACAACGTGATAAAGCCTATTATCAAATGCAATGAATATTGATTGTTAATTATTATTGTTATTATGTTATTATTATGAAGAATCATTATTAATTATGCGAGTGTACTGTAAATCCTCTGCTCACCTCCCTCAGTTCAGTTCAATCATCCTCACTCCATTCATTTCCCCTCAAACATATGATTTCCAATGAACACAAAGCCTTGGTCCCTGGCGTCCAAAATAGTAGTCAGTCGCACTCTAACCTCTGAGACGGAACATTGTGGGTTCAAGCTCCACTTTGGAGACTGTGAACTCAGTCTATCTAGACTGATGCTACAAGTCAGTGCTACATTGTCATAAGAGCCGCCCTTCAGATGAGACGTTAAACTGAGGTCTGGTCTGACTGTTCAGGTGGACATTAAACATCCCATGTTACTACTCGAATAGAGTTTAATCTGATGTCCTGGATAACAATCTCCCAGATAAAGTAGTCACTCAGTTAATGGTTGTTTGTAGCTGACTCAGACACGAGAACGCTAGCAACTGAGCCAGTTACTAGGATTCTAGTTACTAGGATATAGTGATTGAAGTTCAGTAGCATATTTATGACAATGACCTGCCCCTATTTCTGGTTGATGCTAAGTGCGTGGCACTGACTGATGCTCTGTGCATCATTCATGCTTGACCTTATAAAGCAACATTGAATCTGCAAACTCATTCCATTCACAACACTGACCAGATGGGGCCATACCTCAATTAAAGCAAGATTGTTGATTGACTCAGCTCATAGAATCATAGCAATTTACAATGTAGAAGGAGGGCACTCAGCCCATCTATCATAGAATTATACAGAAGAGATGGAGGCCATTCGACCCATCGTGACTGTGCCGATTCTTTTAAAAGAGCTATCCAAATCAATCCCACTCCCTCGCGCTCTCCCATGGCCCTGAAAACCTGTCCTCCCAAAATAATTATCTACTTCTCTCTTAAATGTTGTTATCGAATCAGCTTCTACCACCATTTAAGGCAATTCATTCCAGATCCGAACGACTCGCTGTGTGAAAATTACATTTATATATAATTATATATTTTTAATCTGATGAACTGACACGGCACTATATCAAATGTAAGCGTTACTATTATTATTAATTAATTATCATCTAATCCTCACCAGATCAGAGCAAAGTGTTCATTCAATCTCACTGCTCTGACTGAATGATCCCCACAACCCTTCAAGACTTTTTTGTATCAGTTTACTTCTCTCTTGAAACTCACAATGGACTCTGCCTCTGCCTCACCCACAAAATACACAGTCAATTCACTTCTGTGAAGGACTTTATAATAATAATAATAATCCTTGCATTTGATATAGCGCTTTTCACGTCGGGAGGACGTCCCAAAGCGCTTCACAGAACACACTGTAAAGTGAATTGACTGTATATTTGTGGGCGAACGCGGCAGCCAATTGCGCACAGCAATGTCCCACAAACAGTCGTAGTTTGAAAATGACCAATTTTTTTATTATTGTTTTGGTTTTTTTTTTGAGACATCTCGAAGACATGATAAGATGCTATATGGAATGCAAAGATGATTATTATTATTATGTCCTCTAGTCACCAACTCCCCTAAAATTTGGGAAAACACAGTCTGGTAAAGGCTTACATTACACAGGAACTGTCATATTAACGCTTAATAAATTAATGTGGAAGCCCAATTATCTGCATCAGCCGGCAACTCTACAAGTGCTGTCCATTTACGGGCATTTAATTGTTGCTGCAGTTTTAAATGAATTCCCAAGGGGGACTGGTTTTTGTCCAGGGTAGTCACTAATGATCTCAAACCAGCTGTGCGCACATCAGCTGAAAGCAGCCCTGTTGAGTCAGACCCAGATAAAAAAGGGAATCATTCATTGCATCCATGTGGCAGGCTTTACAGAGAGAATAACAGAGTCTGAACCCTGAACCAAATCAACCGGTTCAAACAGAGCCCTGATCTAAGGCAGGAAAGTTGCTTTAAAAATTACTGATCGTGGCCAAGAAGGGAAGAGTCTCCATTATGTAAACAATATTACGCATAATAATCCTTGCATTTGATACAGCACCTTGTCATGTCACTGAACATCTCAGCGCTTCACAGGATTTGCTTTTATGTGCAGTGACTGTATTTTGTGGGCAACACAACACACCGCTATGTCCCACAAACAGCCATGAGTGATTTTATCTGGGGGATCTGTTGGACAGGACACCAGGAGAAATCCACTTCTGTTATTAAATAGTGCCATGGGGCCTTTAACATCCGTCTAAAGGCAGGTATAATAATTTAAGAGGTGGCACATCTATATATATATATATTAAATGAACTGTGTTCTAGAAGTCCTTCTATGTCTTAGCCATACAATACTATCCACTTCATAACAGAGTTACATGTACAAAAAAGGCTTTGATATAATACCTATTTTTAACACTTTTATATAATATTATACGTCATGTTTTCACTTCCAGCAACTACTTAGACTACAGGGGGAGGGAGGGGGAATATGTAAAGAGGTAACTTTGATAACTCTGTCCGTAACCTGCTTGTGCAACAGTAAATAATCACGGTGGGAAAAGGAGTCATTATACAAAATCAGAGGCCAAGATGACATCAGCAACAGCATGTGATATGGCGCAGTGTTGCTACATTTGTGGGTAAATGCTTTAGGCTTGAATATTGCCTGGCATTGGGCCCAAGCTACTTACCAGTGAGAGCTGGTGTGTGTGTGTCTCAGTAAAATACTCAATCTCATGCTTTCCCCGATGAAGCAATTGCTAATCTAGTTTCCACGGTCATGCAGTAAAAGCTATCTAATCTTCTGTAACTTACTTTGTTACGTTATTCTCCACGCCCTCCCTCTCACTCGGCTGCGACTTTCATACTTGATTGGGTTCTGATAGGCACTTCTCAGCAATACCATTCACATAGCAGAAGCCAAAGGGGTCGAAGAGTAGAGGCTCTCACCGTCACTGGGCTGGATTGACTGACTGAAGGTGCTCCTTGCTGTGCTGAGCCAAACATAGATTGAATTTCGGATGAGACGTTAAACTGAGGCCCCATTTGTGCCTGTTCAGGTGAACTCCATTCCTGAATCCCTCCACCTCAATCCCCCCACACACGCCCAACCACCTCGCCTCCTCCAAGGCCCGTCTCAAGATCTTCCTCTTTGACCGCACCTTCACCCACACTACCACCCCACTCCCCTTGCCCTCAACCCCTCTCGATTCCAACCCCCAGATCAGGTGCAAACCCTGAACTGTTGCAGCACCTTGGGACATTCTTCCAATGTGAAAGGCGCTATACAAAGGTAATGTTGTTTAATCTCATGGCATTATTTGAAAAGAACAGGGAGTATCTCTCGCCCATGTCATGGACAATGATCCCCCAGATAAAATCTCTCATTCATTTCATGGCTGTTTGTGGTACGTTGCTGTGTACAAATTGGCTGCCTCATTTGCCTCCAACATACACAGTCACTGAACTTCACAGTAAAATCCTTTGAAGTGCTTAGAGATCTCCTCCTGACTATCAAATGCAAGGAATATTCGAGCTTCACGAGCAGTCTCCAACCCCAGAAATATTCACGTCCCATTCCACGGCCTCTCTGTAACTCAGGTCGTTAATTGCTGACATAAAACCATAAAACGGAGTCAGAATGTTGAACCAAATTCTCAGCTAAAGCTCTTGACTAATCCACATGATGTACACCGCTGCCAATGTATTGTGGCCAAAGAAAGACTTGGCACGCTTTCCTTTTAAAGATCACTCTTGTTATTTTAACTAAAAGTGCTGAATACAAATCATTATCTATCTTGACTTACGTGGACAAAGTAGGAAGCCAATAATTTGTTATTAAGTAGAGACCACCCGAGGCATGGACTTCCCAACTTCCCTCCACAAGATGCAGATTATTCAAAACTCTGCAGCTCGTGTCCACTCCCACACTAAGCTCCGCGAGGCATTCACCCCCATCACCGCTAGCTCCACTGGCTCCACATCCCCCAGAGGCTCGAATTCAAGATCCTCGTCCTCGCCTTTAATGCCCTCCATGGTCTTGCTCCTCCCTAACCCTGTGACCTCCTAAAACCTTACCAGCTTGTCTGCTCCCTCGGCAGGCATTGGCCTGCTCCTGTTCTGCCTGGTCCACCATTGGAGGTTGAGCTTTCAACCTTTCTGCCCCCACCTTCTGAAACTTCATCCCGGAACCCCCTGCACCTCACCCCTTCTCTTGCCTCCTTTAGACCCATCTCAAGACCATCCTCTTTAACCATGTTCGATCATCTTCCCATCTCCACTCCACTTGCCACCCTACCTACCCTCTTGGCTCCAGCCCGCAACTTAGTGCAAACTCTTCACTGTCGGGTGCCTTGGGATGTCCTCCTGACATGAAACAATATATAAATGCAATTTTTTTTTGTATTTTTAGGCAACCAGCCAATTTGCACACAGCATTGTCCCACAAACTGCCATGAATTGAATAACTCAATTCTATCTGTGGTATTCATGAGCACGACACTGGGAGAAACTCCCTTCTGTTTTCAAATGGTTCCATGAGATCTTCAATGCCCTCCTGAACAACAGACAGGACCTCAGTTTGACAACTCATCTGAAAGACGGCACCTCTAACAATTCAGTACATCCCCAGCACTGCAACTGAAGCATCAGGCTAGACTGCGAGTTTAAAGTCCCCAATGTGAGGATTAACCCACAAACT